TCAAGGTGGTAGGTTGAAACATTCCCACCTAGCTCCAGCAGACAAGAGTCCTTTGTCCCACCCTGGTCATTCCACAGATATATAAACCCTTTTTCCTACTTCCAACAGACCTCACTACCTCTGAGGATGCTTGCCATAGATGCAGGCGAAACGTCAGGAGAGAATGCCTCTAGACCATGGCCATATAGCCTGAAAAAACCTACAACAACCCAGTGATTCTGGCCATGAAAGCCTTCGACAATACATTGTTTTAACAATGGTTCCTGATGTATTTTTCCCCGGTGCTGGGACTCAAGGTGGCTTGCAGAAGATTATTTTTACTATTGTTGCCGATGCATTTTTGGAACGTAACTAGAAATGCACCTCCTTTATCAGCAGGGCCGCCCTTTGTTTATGCATTTTTGGAACTCGACTAGAAATGTTATCTCTTGGACGGCCCTTTGTTTATGCAGCCCTGGCATTGGTTTCCCAAACAGATAACAGGAGGGAATACGAACTGGAGAGCATGAACTCTTCTCCATTGGTGCGGAAGGGTGGCGGAGCACAGCATTTCCCCCTTCTTTTCCTGTAAAAAGGTGCAGAGCTAACCAGAAAAGCTCTTTGACTGCCATTTAGAGTCCCTACTATGAGACTCAAGATCCTGCAAGGAAGACTCCAGCAATACATGGAGCGAGAGTGGCCAGACGTTCAAGCTGGGTTTAGAAAAGGCAGAGGAACGAGAGACCAGATTGCCAATATCCGCTGGATAATGGAGAAAGGCAGGGAGTTTCAGAAAAACATCTACTTCTGCTTCATTGACTATTCTAAAGCCTTTGACTGTGTGGATCATAATAAATTGTGGCACGTTCTTGGTGGGATGGGCATCCCAAGCCACCTTCCCTCTCTCCTGAGGAATCTGTACAAGGACCAAGGAGCAACAGTCAGAACTGACCACGGAACAACAGACTGGTTCAAGATTGGGAAAGGCGTCCGGCAAGGCTGCATCCTCTCACCCAACCTTTTTAACTTGTATGCAGAACACATCATGCGATGTGCGGGGCTGGATGAATGCAAAGCTGGGGTGAAAATTGCTGGAAGAAACATTAACAACCTCAGATATGCAGATGACACCACTCTGATGGCCGAAAGCGAGGAGGAGCTGAGGAGCCTTCTAATCAAGGTGAAAGAAGAAAGCGCAAAAGCCGGGTTGCAGCTAAACGTCAAAAAACCCAAGATTATGGCAACAAGAATGATTGACAACTGGAAAATAGAGGGAGAAAATGTGGAGGCCGTGACAGACTTTGTATTTCTAGGTGCAAAGATTACTGCAGATGCAGACTGTGGCCAGGAAATCAGAAGACGCTTCCTTCTTGGGAGGAGAGCAATGTCCAGTCTCGATAAAATAGTAAAGAGTAGAGACATCAGGCAAAAGGAAGAGGGGCCGACCAAGGGCAAGATGGATGGATGGCATCCTTGAAGTGACTGGAATGACCTTGAAGGAGCTGGGGGTGGTGACGGCTGACAGGGAGCTCTGGCGTGGGCTGGTCCATGAGGTCACGAAGAGTCGGAGACGACTGAACGAATGAACAACAACAAATAACAAGACATCAGACTGGCAACAAAGATCCGCCTAGTCAAAGCCATGGTCTTCCCTGTAGTCACCTACGGATGTGAGAGCTGGACCTTAGGGAAGGCTGAGCGAAGGAAGATCGATGCTTTTGAGCTGTGGTGCTGGAGGAAAGTGCTGAGAGTGCCTTGGACTGCGAGAAGATCCAACCAGTCCATCCTCCAGGAAAGAAAGCCCGACTGCTCATTGGAGGGAAGGAGACTAGAGACAAAGCGGAAGTCCTTTGGCCACATCATGAGGAGACAGCAAAGCCTAGAGAAGACAATTATGCTGGGGAAAGTGGAAGGCAAAAGGAAGAGGGGCCGACCAAGGGCAAGATGGATGGATGGCATCCTTGAAGTGACTGGACTGACCTTGAAGGAGCTGGGGGTGGTGACGGCTGACAGGGAGCTCTGGCGTGGGATGGTCCATGAGGTCACGAAGAGTCGGAGACGACTGAACGAATGAACAACAACAACAACTATGAGAAAAAATCCACAATCTTAAAATAAAGTCAAGTTGCAGCTCTGCTTGTTTGTTTCCAGTGTTTTAAGTGATGCAGATGGTCTTACTTTTGGTCGTCGTACTAAACTTTATGTTTGGATCCTTGCCTGGCTTACTCTAGTTTCGTTCTAAATCCGGAGAGGAAAGGGTGTTTTTGCCTCGCCTAGGCTGCCGGCCAATACAAATAAATTCCCGATGACTAACCCGAACACAAAGGGGTGCGGCGGTGGCGCACCTGCCCACAGGTCTGTCTTCAAGACAGGGCTGATAATCCAGGATGCAGTCTCTTCCGTACAAAATCATACGTTTCCTTTCCAAGAAATGCAAGCTAAAGGTTGTCCAAAGCATGGCAGGAATGGGTTGCTGAGAGTTTTTCGGGCTGTCTTCCAGCAGTGTTCTCTCCTAATGTTTCACCTGCATCTGTGGCTGGCATCTTCAGAGGTTCTGTTCACAGTGAAGCAAATGGAGTGTGCGTATGTGTGCATGTACTATACACACACCTGTGGATGTGTGTGTGTGTATGTATGTGTATATATATATATATATATATACACACACACGCACACACATGCACACACACGCACACACATACACAACCTGTGGAATGTCCAGGGTGGGAGAAACAACTCTTGTTTGTTTGAAGCAAGTGTGAATGTTGCAATTACAAAACTTCAGATAACATTTGAGTAACCATGAAGCTGCAAAGTCAATCAGTGAGGGTATCTACATAGAGGTAACAATTGGAGTGCATATATACCTGTGGAATAATGCCCAGGGTGGGAGAAATAACCTTTGTCTGCTTAAAGCAAGTGCAAAAGTTGCAATTAGCAAGCTTGAATTACCATGTGAGCAGCCATAAAGCTGCAAAGTCAATCAGTGAAGGTCTCTGCCTAGAGGTAATGAAGCAAGTGGAGTGTACACATACCTGTGGAATAATGTCCAGGGTGGGAGGAAGAATCCTTATCTGTTGGAAGCAAGTGATAATGTTGCAATTAGCAAGCTTGAATTAGCACGTGAAGCTGCAAAGTCAATCAGTGAGGGTATCTGCATAGAGGTAACAAGTGAGGTGAATATATATCTCTGTGGAATGTCCAGAGTGGGAGAAAGAACTCTTGTATGTTTGAGGCAAGTGTGGACAAGCTTGAGTAGCCATGAAGCTGCAAAGTCAATCAGGGAGGGTACCTTCAAAGAGGTAACAAGTGGAGTGCCATATTCCATAAACCTGTATTATTCCATATACCTGTGGAATAATGTCCAGGGTGGGAGAAATAATCTTTGTCTGCTTAAAGCAAGTGCAAAAGTTGCAAATAGTGAGCTTGAATTAGCATGTGAGCAGCCATGAAGCTGCAAAGTCAATAAGTGAGGGTTTCTGCGTAGAGATAGTGAAGCAAGTGGAGTGTGTATGTATGTATGTATGTATGTATCTATCTATCTATCTATCTATCTATCTATCTATCTATCTGTGGAATAATGTCCAGAGTGGGAAAAAGAACCTGCGCCTGTTTAAAGCAAGTGTGAATGTTGCAGTTAGCCAGCTTGAATAGCATTGAGTAGCCATGAAGTTTGCAAAGTCAATCATGTCAGAGTGAGACCCTGGGGTCTATGCACAGCGGAATTGAGGTTACTAGATCACACAGACACAAAACAGGACACTGCAGTCTGCCAGTTTCAGAAAATAACTTCAAGTTTACTTAGTACATCTCAATACACGTCTACTTCTCAGCGGGCTACATCATGAGCTACAAAGCACAGCACAAAACAGTATTCAGAACATCTGCTTATCAGTTTCACTTTGGCTGTAAGCCGGCAACTCCCTAATTCTTCCCAGACAGAGAGAACTTGTTATCTTACTTCTGTCAAGGTCTTTTTCTCTCTACCTCTCTGTCTCTCAAAACAACAATTCCAGCATACAATTGAACATAACTGAATCCATCTTGAATACATATGAACACCATTGTTAAACATATTGAAACACATTGAAAAAACATACATGCATACTTTCAATAATCCTGACAAATCAGTGAAAGTATCTTCATAGGGGCAGCCTGTCTGTTGTTGCCTGGAGGCATCTTCTGTTTGGGAGGAGTTAAATGGGACTTGGTTGTTTGTTGTCTGGAATTTCCCTGTTTCTAAGTGGTGTCCTTTATTTATTGTCTTGATTCTGGTTTTTTTTTTTTTACACAGAGAGTGCCTCCAGGAAGCAACAGCCAGGCTACCTCTATGCAGATACCCACACTGATTGACTTTGCAGCTTTATGGCTGCCCAATAGTAATCAAGCTTGCTAATTGCAACATTCACACTTACTTTAAACAGACAAGGGTTCTTTCTCCCACCCTGGACATTATTCCACAGGCATATATACACTCCTACCATCTGGTGGGGGTGCTTTGAATGTGATTTTCCTGCTTATTGGCAGAGGGTTGGACTGGATGTCCCACGAGGTCTCTTCCAAATCTATGATTCCACTTGCTTTTAGCTCCAACAGACCTCTGAAGATGCCAGCCACAGATGCAGGTGAAACATCAGGAGAGAATGCTGCTGGGACATGGCTATACAACCCAGGAAATGCACAGCAGTCCTCTTGGAACATATGTGCATGCACTTCCCCACTATTTTATAATAAGGATCTTGATTATCTGAAGTGCTGTAAATAATGTCTTGATTAGATGAGGACTGGTACGAGTTGAAGTTCAAAAACACCAGAAGGATCATAGGATTGCAATTTTGTGGTGTAAACAAAGTGACCGTATTTAATATTTTTGGGGCGAGGTATGTGACCCTGATGTGTCTGTGTTGCCTTGGATTGTGAGTGTAAGAAGAGGTGGCTCTTCCTTCATCTTATTATATTTCTATTATATTTGTTATAATAGAATAATAATAATAATTTGCCTGTTTCCTTCTCTTCCTCAGCGTTTTGCGAAGACGACGTCAATCTCTGGGTGGCAGGCCTGAATTGGTTGGTGACGGACACGCAGCGAGCACCGACTCCTCTCCATATCGAAAGGTAAGGGAGAGAAAATGCACAAAAACGGACTTTGGTGCATTTAAACAGGCCATGCATTGTGCATAGTCAGGGCAGGTTCTAGATCAGCCATGTGTGGGTTCTAGGTCAGGTATTAACGATTTCGCAATCAGGTATGGGCAAATTTGGGCCCTCCATGTGTTTTAGACTTCAACTTCCACAATTCCTAACAGCCTACTGGGCAGGTTCTAGATCAGACAGGGGTGGGTTCTAGGTCAGGTGCTGACGGCTTATTGAGCAGACATGGGCAAATTTCACCCTGCCATGTGTTTTGGACGTGGGCTCCAACAATTCCTAACAACTTACAGGGGGGGGGTCTAGATCAGACATGGTTGGGTCCTAATGGGTTCTTAGTTGTACATTGGCAAACTTCGCCCCCTCCAGGTGTTTTGGGCTTTTAACTCCCACAATTCCTAACAGCCTAAAAGGCAGGTTCTAGATCATCAGTGGGGAGGGTTCTAGGTTATGTGAAACCAGGTTCTTGCTTGGGCATGGGCAAACTTCACCCTGCCAGGTGTTTTGGACTTCAACTCTCACAATTCCTAACAGCTTACATGTCAGGTTCCAGAGCAGATTTGGGTGGGTTCTAGGTTGGATATTGGCAGGTTCTCAATCAGGCATGAGCAAACTTTGTGCCTCCAGGTGTTTTGGACCAACTCCCACAATTCCCAACAGCCTGCCAGGCGGGTTCTAGATCAGACATGGAAGGTTTCTAGGTCAGTATTACTGGATTCTTGGTCAGGCATGGGTCAACTTGGGCCCTCTAGGTGTTTTGGACTTCTACTCCCACAATTCCTGACAGGATTTGTGGGAGTTGGAGTCCAAAACACCTGGAGGGCCCAAGTTGGCTCATGCCTAGGCTGGACAGCCTTGAACTTCTGTCTTTGGAAGGAGAAGGATGCAATGTCTGAACCGTTTCCGCAGAGGTTCCTTGTGCTTTGCTGAAGAACTAACTTTGCAGCCATTCCTGTCACCTTAGAGTAGAAAATACTTGATGAAGACCCTGTGGTCGCTTTGTATATTTACAAATATAACCCTCTGCTAAGCTTTTCTTTTTCCCTCTCTCCTCAGGTGGTTGAGGAAGCAGTTTGATTCGATGGATAGATCAAGGGAAGGCAGGTGAGTGCCAACTGCGCCTCTCTCTCTCTCTTAAGTTCATGAACAATTTCCCCTACAACACACTTTTAAAAACAGACTCTTAAGTGGGTTGTTGTGAATTTCCAGCCATGTTCCAGCTGCATTCTCTCCTAATATTTTGCCTGCATGTGTGGCATGCATCGTCAGAAGTTCTGTTGGGAGTGAGGCAAGTGGAGTGTATATATGTGTGCAAAATAATGTCCATGGTGGGGAAAAGAATCATTGTCTGTTTAAAAAAATGTGAATTTTGCAATTAGCAAGCTTGAATTAGCATTTGAGTAGCCATGAAGTTTGCAGAGTGAGTCAATCTGCATAGAGGTAACCTGGCCTTTGTTGCTTGGGGGCACCCTCTTTTGGGAGGTGTTAACTGATGATTGATTGCTGTCTGGAGTTCCCCTGTTTCAATGGCTTCTCTGCGTAGTCTGTTAGGAATTGTGGAAGCTGAAGTCCAAAACACCTGGCAGGGTGAAGTTTGCCCATGTCGGTTCAAGAACCTGTTAGTACCTGACCTAGAACCCATCCATGTATAATCCAGAATCTGCCCAGTAGGCTTTTAGGAATTGTGGGTGTTGAAGTCCAAAACACCTGGAGGAGTGAAGTTTGTCGATGCCCGACTGAGAACCCACTAGTACCCAACCTAGAACCCTGCCCATGTCTGATCTAGAACCTGCCCTGTAAGCTGAAGATCAGTTCAGTAAGCTGAACTGATCTTCATCGTCAAGTTAATGCAGTTTGAGAACACTTTAACTACAATGGTTCAACAACAACAACAATAATAATGCGTGCATCATTCGAGAATACAGCACACAGTCCTAGACGCTTGGGAAGTGTTTGACTTGTGATTCTGTGATACAAAATCCAGCATAGAGTTCTCGTTTGCTGTGACATACTGTGTTTTTGTGTCAGTAAAATAATAATAATAGTAATAATAGTAATACAATAATAATAATTATATTATTATTAATCAATAATAATAATAATAATAATAATAATAATAATAATAATAATAATAATGCAAAGATTTCTGTGACATACTGTTTTTGTGTCAGTAAAATAATAATAACAGTAATACAATAAAAAAATTTTTTTATTATTAATCAATAATAGTAATAATGCAAAGATTTAAAGATGGAAATTAAACTGCAAAGACTTTGGCACAAGCCAGTCAAGGTGGTGCCAGTGGTGATCGGCACACTGGGTACAGTGCCTAAAGACCTTGGCCTGTACTTAAACACAATCGGCGCTGACAAAATTACCATCTGTCAGCTGAAAGAGGCCACCCTGCTTGGATCTGCATACATTATTCACCGATACATCACACAGTCCTAGACACTTGGGAAGTGTCCGACGTGTGATCCAATACAACAGCCAGCAGAGTGATCTTGTCTGCTGTGGACTCATCTTGTTATGTTTCTAACAACAACAACAACAGCAACAATAATAATAATAATGCAAGGAGTTAAAGACCAAACTCCAAAGATTCTGGCACAAGCCAGTCAAGGAGGGTCCCAGTGGTGATCGGCACATTGGGTGCAGTGCCTTAAGACCTTGGCCTGCACTTAAAAACAATCAGCGCTGACAAAATTACCATCTGTCAGCTGAAAAAGGCCAACCTACTTGGATTTGCACACATTATTTTCCGATATATCACATAGTCCTAGACACTTGGGAAGTGTCCAACGTGTGATCCAATACAACAGCCAGCAGAGAGATCTTGTCTGTTGTGTTTCTAATAATAATAATAATAATAATAATAATAATAATGCAAGGATTTAAAGACCAAACTCCAAAGATTCTAGCACAAGCCAATCAAGGAGGGTCCCAGTGATGATTGGCACATTGGGTGCAGTGCCTAAAGACCTTGGTCTGCACTTAAAAACAATCGACGCTGACAAAATTACCATCTGTCAGCTGAAAAGGGCCAATTTACTTGGATCTGCACACATTATTTTCCAATATATCACATTGGGAAGTGTCCGACGTGTGATCCAATACAACAGCCAGCAGAGAGATCTTGTCTGCTGTGTTTCTAATGATGATGATGATGATGATGATGATGATGATGCAAGGATTTAAAGACCAAACTCCATAGATTCTGGCACAAGCTAGTCAAGGAGGGTCCCAGTGGTGATCGGCACATTGGGTGCAGTGCCTAAAGACCTTGGCCTGCACTTAAAAACAATCTGCGCTGACAAAATTACCATCTGCCAACCGCAAAAGTCCAACCTATTTGGATCTGCACACATTATTTTCCAATATAGCACATAGTCCTGGACACTTGGGAAGTGTCCGACATGTGATCCAATACAACAGCCAGCATAGTGACCTTGTTTGTTGTGTACCAATCTTGTTGTGCATCAAATAACAACAACAACAATAACAAAACTTTATTTATATTCCATCCCTCTCCTTGAGGAGACTCAGGGTCGATTCAGTGCCATAAATCCTGGGAGATGTAGTTGTTTACAAGGTCTTTGGCCTTTGCCTTCCAAGTGTCTGTAAATCCTGGGAGCTGTAGTTTTACAAGGTCTTTGGCCTTTGCTTTCCAAGAGTGCTGGTGCACTTGGAAATCCTAAGTGTCCATTGCATTGACCCATGGAAGGTCAAGCAATGCATTAATTCCACCCTGTGGACCCTTTATGTACAGGATGCCACTTTAGGCTAAGTGTTAGCCATCGAGAACTGGCACCTAGAACACCTGAGGTCAGGAGGAGAGCTTGCAATCCACGAAATGACTTGCAACCCATCGTCCCTGCCTCTCCTCCAAAGCCATGGCCCAGACCCAAGTTTGCAAACCCGGTGGGAATGTGTCTCTGAGCAAGCCTTAGCCTGCAACGTTCACCTGATAAGGATGCTCTACATTCCGGTTACTCACACCCTGCCCTCCTTTTGCACAAAGGCTCGCTCTCTTCTCTTCCCAACAACAAGTCAATCAGTTTGATTGATGATGACAATGATCAAGTGCATCTCTTGCGTCCAAATCTTCGCCTGGCTTCCTCCCTTTCTAAAAGTGGAGTTTGCCCTGGGAAGCAGCGTTGGAAAGTGTTTGTTTCCCTGCAAAGTCCCTCCGGCAGTTGGAAAGGCTTGTGTAGGAAAGAAAAACTGGGCCAAACTCTAGGAGAGGCAAAGAACTCATCCCCAAAATATTGTTTGCTCTGAAGAAACTGGGACAAACTCGAGGGGAAGCTGGGTTGCTGTGAGTTTTTTGGGCTGCATGGCCATGTTCCAGCAGCATTCTCCACTAATGTTTCACCTACATCTGTGGCAGGCATCCTCAGAGGTTCTGTTGGCAGTGAGGCAAGTGGAGTGGAGCCCCCCTGGGTTCTCTTCTAGGATGCTATTGGAGTTGTAGTTTTTCAAAGTCTTTAGCCTTCAATGTATTATCGAAGGCTTTCATGGCCGGAATAACAGAGTTGTTGTAGGGTTTTTCGGGCTATATGGCCATGTTCTAAAGGCATTCTCTCCTGATGTTTCGCCTGCATCTATGGCAAGCATCCTCGGAGGTTCTGTTGGCAGTGAGGCAAGTGGAGTGGAGGCCCCCTGGGGTCTCTTCTAGGATGCTATTGGAGTTGTAGTTTTTCAAAGTCTTTAGCCTTTTATGTATTATCGAAGGCTTTCATGGCCGGAATAACAGAGTTGTTGTAAGTTTTTTCGGGCTATATGGCCATGTTCTAAAGGCATTCACTCCTGACGTTTCGCCTGCATCTATGGCAAGCATCCTCAGAGGTAGTGAGGTCTGTTGGAACTAGGAAAATGGGTTTATATATCTGTGGAATGTCCAAGGTGGGACAAAGGACTCTTGTCTGCTGGAGCTAGGTGTGAATGTTTCAACTGACCACCTTGATGAGCATTTGATGGCCTGGCAGTGCCTGGGGCAATCTTTTGTTGAGAGGTGATTAGATGTCCCAGATTGTTTCCTCTCTGCTGTTTTGCTGTTGTAATTTTAGAGTTAATACTGGTAGCCAGATTTTGTTCATTTTCATGGTTTCCTCCTTTCTGTTGAAATTGTCCACATGCTTCTTGTGGATTTCAATGGCTTCTCTGTGTAGTCTGACACGGTGGTTGTTGGAGTGGTCCAGCATTTCTGTGTTCTCAGATAATCTGCTGTGTCCAGGCTGGTTCACCAGGTGCTCTGCTATGGCTGACTTCTCTGGTTGGAGTAGTCTGCAGTGCCTTTCATGTTCCTTGATGCGTGTTTGGGCAATGCTGCGTTTGGTGGTCCCTATGTAGACTTGTCCACCGCTGCATGGTACACGGTAGACTCCTGCAGAGGGGAGAGGATCCCTCTTGTCCTTTGCTGAACGTAGCAGTTGTTGGATTTTCTTGGTGGGTTTGGAGATAGTTTGTATGTTGTGTTTCCTCATCAGCTTCCCTCTGTGGTCAGTGGTTCCCTTGATGTATGGCAAGAACACTTTTCCTCTTGGCTTGACTCTCGTGGCTTGTTCTCGGTCTTGAAGCTCTTCTGGGGTCTGAAGTGGAGTCTCCATTGGCGTGGAGAGCCCAGTTGAGGTGGTTCAATTTGAGTTACAGTTAGGAAATCATGAGAACCACAAAGAGCTATGCATGATGGACGGAAGTAGCTTAACCATATGATGAGCTCCATGTCTCTCCATGCCTGGAGAGAGGCTGACGTGTTCTATGACTGGGAAATATCTCAATGTGGGTTTTGGATGAGGCTTCTGCAGACCAGGGTTCGAATCCCCATTCAGCCGTGGAAACACTCTAGGCCACACTCTCTCAGCCTTAGAAGAAAGCAAAGGCAAATCCTCTCTGAACAAATCTTGTCCAAAAAAATATATCCCATAATACGTTTGTCTTCGGATCGCCATAAGTTGGAAATGACTTGAAAGCATTTATCAAACAGAAAGCAAATCATATGCAGTGGAACCTCTACTTACGAGTGTCCCAACTTAAGAACGTTTTGAGTGGGATCCAAAACAAGATGCTTTTGGCAAGAAGTTTTTGGAAGAACGATGCTACCC